TTCGTGGGTGGAGGAGAGGAGGAGGAGGAGGAGGAGGATGAGGAGGAGGAGGAGGAGGGCTCCTGGTGCCAGGTAACGCTTCCAGGGTGCGGAAGGGTTATCGAGTTGCCGGAAGGGGGGGGGGTTCTTAAATGCTTCCTGGGGTTACTACGACTACTCCTACTCCTACTCCTACTCTTACTCTTACTCTTACTCTTACTACTACTACTACTACTACTACTACTACTACTACTACTACTACTACTACTACTACTACTACTACTACTACTACTACTACTGCTGCTGCTGCTGCTGCTGCTGCTGCTGCTGCTGCTGCTGCTGCTGCTGCTGCTGCTGCTACGACTACGACTACTACTATGACTATGACTACGGATGTTATTGCCAGCCGAGAGCTCAGGGAGGTGGAGGTGCGAGGCAGCATCGAAGATCTTTCGAGGTCACAGGATCCCGGGGAATCCTTTTCCCCAGGGTCGGTGTTTCATCCCGGCGAGGGCCCCAAGGGTCCGAGAACAGACAAAAACCTCGGGTCGTGCTTGGCCCACGGCGCGAGCATGTGGGGGGATCCCCCCGCCTTCCTGGAAGGCCGCCCTGCCCTGTGCGCGCCCCCAGCAGCCCCCTCCGAGCACATTGGAAGCTCCCCGGCGGCCTCGAGGGTGGCGGCGCCCGCCAGGGTGCCGAGCCTCGCCTGCGCGGCTGCCCCACAAAGGCCGCCCCGAGCCAACGCGGATCGACCGACCCGATCGGATCGGACCCTCGAGACGAAGCCAGGATCGGGCAACACCGGCCTGGGACGCATCTGAAGGGGAACTGGGGGACACACTAATAAATACAAAATAAGAATAATCCCAAATATTTTTCAATATTTTCGGGGTTTTTGTCTTCCCCCCCACTTCCCGTAGTTTCCCATATTTTCTGGGAATCGCCGATTAATTGTGTCTGTGTGCTTTTTCCCCTCCTGAGCATCGTGGATCCTCGGGACGAGGCCAGGGTCGGGGGCGCGCAGACTTGGATCAGCGATCCATGGACTTGGCGCGCGGTCGCCGGGCAGATAATTACCCTCCCCAAAATGCAGCCGGTGCCGCCTCGCTCGGCGGCGGAAATCCGCGACTTCCCGATGGAAACGGGACCCATCGCTAATCCACGCCCCCTTTTGATCCATGTTTGCGATCGCCCGATAAAGGAATCCGGCGGTCCCACAGCGCCCCGGTACGCTCCGAGAGCGCTCGTGAACGCTCCGCGTAGTGTGTGTGTGTGTGTGTGTGCTCTCGAGCGGGGAAAGAAACATGCATAAACATACACGTTTGGGCTTCGCGCGGATTTCTCTTGGATCTGCGCTGGGCCCCCTCCCTGGCGCACGGAGCGCGAAAGGAGCGGCGCTGGGGGCGCTGCCAGGGTGCTCCAGCGCCGATCCGAGAAATCCGCGCGGACCTCTGAAAGTTCATGTTTACGTATGTTTTTGCTCCTCGATCGAAACCCATGGAATTCAGGTGCGCGTGCACGCTTGGCCTCATCATGTCTGTGCTTCGCTACAATCGATGCCTGCCCCTTGCGGGGGACTTCATGGCTCCGATTCGAGTGCGGTCGGCGCAAAATGGTCTGCAAATCATGCTGGTGCATCCCGAAACGGTCAGGAACTCTTACTTAGCGTGTAGCCGCGGTGGCCCCAGCGACATGCTATGCCCTGCGAGCGGATGGTGTGTCGCTCCACCCCGCAGGGGTGCGAGAGGTCGGGACTGACGCTGACGCTGGGGACGGGACATTGACGCTTGGGGACTGCGACGTGGATAGCGTGTCGCGCTAGAGCGAGGTGGACCATAACTAGCGGAACGACACGCTGCCCGACAATTCCCTACCGTAGCATACTACGCATACGCCCTCGTTGCCCACGGCGCTGGAGGAGGGAACATGTGCGCGTGTACGTCTCTGCTCTCGGCGGTGCAGAGATGGGGCCCCAGGAAAACTAACCTGGGGCCCTTCCGGTCCTTCGTAAGGGGCAACGTGAGGGGAGCCCCGGCAGGGCGTGCTATCGGCCCGCTCGGCGATCAATGGACGAGCAGGGGTCGATGCCTCCCCCCCTTCCCTGACGCCATCCCTTCCTGACCTTGTCGCTGACATACACCTCGGGCCCTATCCCTGAGGGCCCCCTCTCCCCAGATGTTCTCAATCACGAGGGGGGCCGACGCAGGTGCAGGAGGCGCCGGTCGGGCCACGGGCGGGGCTCGCTGGGAACAAATTTTGGGCACGGAGGGACGCGTGGAGAGGGGAGGCCATCTCCCCGCACGTGCCATTGGAGGCCTCCTCGGTGGGGTCCGAGTAGATGGGGTCGGAGGATCGCGCCGCATCGCCAATGCATCGCTGATGTCTCGCCGATGCATCGGCGATGCATCGGCGATGCATCGGCGATGCATTGGCGATGCATCGGCGATGCATCGACGATGCATCGGCGACGTCGGCGTGGGGAAACACAGGCTCCACATCGAGCCGCATCGCTCATGCATCGGCGATGCGAGGCGATCCTCCGACCCCACCTACTCCGACCCCATCTAGGAGGCCTAGAGCCATGCCTTGGCTTGTCTATACCAGCCGGGCCCTCAGAAGCCCCGACCCTCATCGACCCTCATCCCGAGTGGCTCTGGACCTCCACGGGCGGAACACCGCCGAGGACCCCCCGCCGGGAGTGTGTCGCGACGGGACCTCCTGCGCCGGCACGCTCCTGGCGTGCCCCGGGTTCTCCTCGGCACGTGCTCGGCGTGTCAGCTCGCCCGCGCTCTTGCACGCGCTTGTTGCAAAAATGTTCTAAGAACAGAAACAATGTTCTTAGAACAAAAACCCGATGTGATGAAAGACACAGACTCCGCCAGAAATGTTCTAAGAACATTTCGTGGAAACCACTAACGGTTCTTAGAACATTGTTTGGACGCTTCGCCGCTGCTTGAACTTGGCGCGCCTGCCCGCGCGGCCAGACGGTCCCCAGGCGGAGTGGCGGCGGCGGCGGCCACGCCTGGGCCTCGGCCGCTGATGCCTCGCACCCCCGACCGCGGCGGGCCCCCCCCCCCGACCGCCTCGGCCGGCGGGGCGGGGAACTCCGGGGCCGGGAACACGCCGGGCGGCGCCGGGCGCCACAGCGCCGCGTGGACCGCCTCGAACTTCAGCCGGTGCAGCGCGCGGCCGCTCTCGGCGCTCCTCGCGGGGCGCCGCGGGGGGCCTTCCCCGCCTCCCCCCGCGCGGCGAGCAGGAGCACGGCGGGAGGCTGCTGGCCGTCGTCGGCCTCCAGGGGCCCTCACTGGGCCCCGGGGCTGTTAAGGACCAGCTTATAGGGGGGGCGCGGGGGCAGGGGGTGCAGCCTGGGGGCCGACGTCGCGAGGGGCTCGCGGCGTCGGAGAGCTGAGGGAGGCCAGGGTCCGAGCAGAAAGGCCCCGGCCTCCCACACGTCTCCGAGGTTGCCTCGTGTCGGGCCCTGGTTGGGCGTGGCCTAATGGGGGGGGTCACAAATGGGGGGGCCGGAAAAGGTCCCCTTTCGTGCCCCTTTCGGGCCCCTCCAGAGCCCCAGGGGGCTCGTTTAGGTACCGTTTGGGTACCTTTTCGGACCACCCGCGACACCCCCCCATTTATTACCCCCCCATTACGCGGCGCCCAACCTGACCCTCACGGATCAGTCCGGCTCGAAAAATGCGGCAGACAGATGGGGTCGGGTCCGATTTCTATTCCGATGTTGCGTCGTGTCCGCGACGTCTGATCGGGAGAGCTCGGCCTCCGAGACATGCGGCAGACAGATGGGGTCCAGGGGTCCGGTCCAATTTCTGTTCCGATGTTGCGTCGTTTCCGCGACGGCTGATCGGGAGAGGTTCGGCCTCTCCTGTTTGGACACCCGAAATGAATACGGAAAGAATGGGTACAATGCCCAACAACAAATGTTGCCCCAAACCAACAGCGGCCGCTGTTGGGCAGGCGGCCTTCTGCCTCGAATGGACACAGGCCGCGGCGGCGTGGACCTGGACAGCGAGTCCTGTTCAAAATGAGCATGATCCGCTGTTGGGCATTGTTGAAGGGGCCCCAGGACACACAAATAAATACACACAAATAAACATATGCCCTATATTTTCCCATATATTATGGGTTTTTGTCTTCCCCCCCACTTCCCATATTTTTCCCCACATCCAAAGTGGGGTTCTTGTTTTCTCTGGACACCCCGCGCAGGAACAGGAACACACACACACACACCCACTCACACTCACTCACACTCTCTCATCATCAACCTCATCAGCATCATCGATGATGCTCTCTCACATGCTTAGTCACTCACATACTCATCATCATCATCATCACTCTCTCACACGCTCATGAACGTCATCATCATCATCATCATCGGCATCGGCATCATCCTCATTCAAACATCATCATCGCCACCACCACTCACAATCAATCATCATCCTCTTCACCACTCATCTTCACCACCACTCATCATCCTCATCCTCATCATCGTTGAGTAAATTGTGAGGAAGTCTCAGGCGGGAGCCCCCTCCGTATGGGGCCCGCAGATCATGTTGGTGATCCGAGCGGGTCATCCGAATCCTGTAACTGTCGTCACTTTTGAGCTCCCCAGGCCTGAAAATGGAGGAAGTCTCAGGCGGGAGCCTCGTCTGTGAGTGAATTGGGAGGAAGTGTCAGGCGGGAGCTCCCTCCCTATGGGGCCCGCAGATCATGTTGGTAATCCGAGCGGGTCATCCGAATCCTGTAACTGTCGTCACTTTTGGGCTCCTCAAGCCTGAATTTGGAGGAAGTCTCAGGCGGGAGCCTCGTTTGTGAGTAAATTGTGAGGAAGTCTCAGGCGGGAGCCCCCTCCCTATGGGGCTCGCAGATCATGTTGGTAATCCGAGCGGGTCATCCGAATCCTGTAAGTGTCGTCACTTTTGAACTCCCCAGGCCTGAAAATGGAGGAAGTCTCAGGCGGGAGCCTCGTCTGTGAGTGAATTCTGAGGAAGGCTCAGGCGGGAGCCCCC